GGGTTGTGGGGGGGGGGGGGGCGGAGCAGCATAGCTTGATTCTGTATCTCATTTATGTTCTTATACACCCTCTGCCCTCAGTAGATCTTTTCCTGTCTATAACCTCACTTTTTTAAGTGGACATAGGTGATGCCACTGTGTGGCTGAGAAAATACTAGGGAAACTACCGCAGGGGAAGCATGTAGTTCCTTGGGGTAGGACAGACAAATCAGGCATCTGCACATTCCCCAAGGGCTAGAGGATGCAAACCCAGTTATTTCCTCTGTGCAGCATGGTGGAAAAACCTTGCCTACGCTATCCAAACTCTCTGCATCAGCTTGCTTTCTGTAAGGAATTTTCTTCAAAAGATTTTCTCAAGCTGATTAGGGCAGCAGACAACCTGTCAGCTAAAATGGAGCAGCTGTTTTCCACATACCATGACATTTATGTATACACATATATATACAGGTACATATAGATACACATCCATCCATACATGTATGTATAAAAAAGCTATCAGAATCGCTACCGGAGATGTACTGATTTTCCTTGCATTTTCCTTTTACTAGCTATTTTAACATCTGACAAAAAAGGAGAATACTGTGTTAGATGTAGAAAAATTGATATGTAATCAAGTTTTCTCAGCGACATAGAATGTATCTGTTAAACAGATTCTCTTATGGTTAAGTGGTAAAACATTTCATTACATAATGAACAAGCTACAGAAATTCTTCAGATTCCAGCTTAAATTCTATTTTTCTTCCTGGTTCCACTAGATGGTGGTATAGAGCAAAAACAGAGACAAAAATCTGCTGGCTGCAGACTTCCTAACTTAGGCTCTCATTTAAATCTCCTTCTACAACTAATATCCTGCACTTCTGGGAACAGCTCTGCTCCAACCACTTCAGCTGTCACCCTTCTGCTCTACTGCATGATGCCTGCTAGTTTTCAGGAGCGACAGTGCCTATCAAAAAGATTAGTTATGCTTCTAAAATTAAAGATGTTTAAGTACTTCAGGATTGCTGCTCAAGAACAGAAAGGTATTAATAGCTTATACTTTGAAATTAATATACTGTCAAATAGTTTTGCAGTTTAACTGCTACAGGGTTCCCATTTCTGAATTGCACTTTCCTGAAGAACCATGACTATTTAAAGATTAATGATTACATTTTGAAGAATATAAATTACTTTTACAGAGTTTTTAGACCAGTTGCAAAGAGGAAAGAAAAACTCCCACCAGTTTAGTAAGAAGTCATTTTCCTGCTCTTCTGGCTGACACAACATTTTGAAGTAAATCTGAACCTGGGAAAACTCCTAAGACTGCTTTATAAACACCCAGTTTAGAAAACATTTCCTACCTTAGGAGGATATGAAGGTAAGAGCCCAGGCCTGTGAGAATATGCCACCATGCATGAAACTGTGTCACAGCTCCCACAACAGGAGGCATCTTCTCTCGTAGTGCCCTGTAAGAAAGAAACACCATGCAATGTTTTTTTTTTTCGAAGCTAAGCAATCTCAAATCACAGTGCTTGATTGTCAGATCACACATCACTGTTTCCATATCTCAGGCACGTGCTTCACGAGTGAGGCTTCGCGTAGTCAGGCTTTCAGCAGGTGAGGAGCAGCAGTTACACCTTATGCTGCCAGTATAGAAAGATGTTGGCAAACTGGCTTTCTTGCACATTTAAAGAAAGCACATGCTTCTTCATACAATGAGTGATCAGTTACTTCGGGACTCAAATTTCAGGTAATATATTTATGGCATCCCACAGTCCCAAAGGAGTTCTACCATTCTCCTCCCCAAAACCCGGTGAACTGCTGTCCATAGGATGAAATGCTGAGTTTAAGGTCTGAGAGAGGAAATGGGATCCATCAGACATCACCACTTTACGTTTGGCAATCACACCACCTATTCTCCAGCTCCATGGAAGCTTAGCTTGCCTTTCTCTGTCGTACTCTAAAATGGGGATAAAATGGGTGTTTAGTGAGGAAGCAATGAAAGTAGAGGGTCTGAAATACTCCGCCAACGTGCTTTGTATTTTGCACAGTTATGGGGTGTGAGCTACTTGGGAAGAGGCTAAGGGATGGAGAGAGAGAAAGAAAAGGAAGGAACTACATTGCCCTGATTTCTCCTGCTCACTAGGCTTCTGCAGATAATGCCTATTTTGGTTGATGGTGGAGCAAATGTTTGCATCTGCCTAGCTTCCTTTTTGACTTTTATTTCACATTCAGTCAAAAGAAAAAAGGGAAAACAGTGATCGCAGGTGTTAAGGAAAAAAAATCTGTAGCTTCTGCAGCTTCTGTAACACTTATTCACTGCTTGATGTTACAGTGTTCAGTCCCCCTGACTAAACGCTAATCCCTGAGCTATCGCTTAGCTTCCAGAGCTGCTCAGTCACAAATATGAACACAGAACTTTGATTCAGTCAGCCTGCGAATGACAGAGTGGAACACACAGACTGGCACCCCGGCACAGCCTCTGAGCCTTTGGATGGCAGGAAATCTCAAAGCTCAAGTTCAAAAGTGCATGGATCCAACCAGGGAAGCTGAGTGCTAGAGATGTTTTTCTGTGGTTTTTTTTTTTAAATAAGCTCCAAATGTAATGAAATATGGAAAAACAAAAACTGAACCAAAATACAATTTCGAACATTAAACCCAAAAAGAGCAGGTAGGTGGATGATTCACAAGTTAGATCTTTAGAGAATAAAAAATTGCAAAGAACTGGAATATATTTTCTCCAAAGGTTCGAGTTATAATTCCACCTGGAGAAATTCAAGGCTCTGCAGACATCTGGTTAAAGCTAGTAAACAAGCGTATTTATTTTTTTCCAGCACCATAACCAAACAAGTATTACAGGAAATATGCTTTTTTTTCCCTTTGCAAAATGAGGATGGAAAAAAGTGCTTCAGCAGCTGGTGTAATCTTTGAGTCTAGGAACAAGTTCAAAAGCCCCACGGACCTGCAGCAGCTCAGCAGGCTGAGTGAATTGGGGGTTATGATCTCACCAGTGATGCGATGCAGCTGCAAAAATCAACCCTGATGCCAATATTTGCAAAGTCACTGTATACCCACCCACTTGCGTTGGCAAGTAACTTTTCTATGCCATCTGTATCAAGTGTTTCTAAGGATGAGGCACTGTGTATTCTATTCAGTACACCTCTATTTTTAAAAAAGTTTCAAGAAAACTCTGTTGGAGTTAACTTTCAATTGGCCTAACCTAGCGCAAGGATTACAGAGCCAAAAGGGACAGCTGGAAAACACTAGACTTCTTTACAGCACACTTGATCCGACCCTGACAAAGCAACCTACTAGGGCAATTCTGTACGTCACAGATTCAGCGGCGTAACAGTATATCAGACAGTCAAGAATGGATTTTCTGGATGCTGGCATCAACCTTTCCATCTTCTCCAGCTTGTGGCGGAACACAAGCATCACAACTAAGCGAGAGAAAGGTGCAGTTGTCTTGGACCTTTACAGAGGAACACACATTAAGAGAACAACCTGTTGGACTGGTGTTTTTTCTTGCACGGACAGGATATCTAGCCATACGACGAGATGGTGGGTTCCTAGAAGCTTTGTCTGGAAGCCTTTTTTACCCCATTTGGCAATACACTAAACAGGGAGGAAGTCTTTCCTGGCCTCCTCTACAAGACCTGAGCCAGAAGACTTCAGGCTAATAATGACAGCCAAGCACGGTGTACTGGCTCACAGAGTTACCGTTCTTTCCGAGACGCTCAGACAGCTGTTGTTTATTGGTGACAGATATATTGCAATAGGTATTTCTTTAACCCGCAGAACTACTGCTTTTCATATTTTCCTGGGAAATGGCAAGAGCAGAAACCAAAAAAAGCAGGATAAAAAACTCATTCAGATGAAATCAAGTGTGAATAGCAGGCTTTAGTAAGCCACAGAGCCTCAAAATTACTTCAGTGACATTATCTCAATTTAAATTGAAGTTAAAGAGAAATATCAATTATTTTTAAAAAAATCTGTTCATGCGTAAAAAAAGTTAAAAAACTGTTGAGTGCTGAATCTAGTCACGAGCAAACTGGATAAAACCCTTGTGAATGTTTTGTAGGCAGCGTACCATACATACCATGACATGGCCTTGAATATACACCACAGAAAAAAGAAAGCTTTATGCTAAAAGACGATTAAGAGCTATCCAGACAAAGTGAAAGAACTCACCTCAATTTATCACAGAAAATGTTGTCCACATTCCAGAGAAAAAATCCCATTAAAAATACAGTTAAAGATGTATAGCCTAGACCTCTAAGCCATGGGTATACCCTAGAGAGACAGAGAGAAAGAGAAATAATGCAAAGTTTAGTTCAAGATTCTTTAAAGGCAGCTTTTCTATAACGTACATAAATACTATTACATACAAATAAACTGCTTTATTAATTTTTTTTTCCCAAAAGGAAAAACATTGACTTCAAATCTCATCTATTTAAGTATCGTATTTTACCTCCTCCCCTCTCTCCTGAATTCACATTCTCTGAGACTCATCTTTTAAATGTTTTACTTCTATATTTCTAATTGTTCCCCTAAATACTGCTCTCTCCTAACGCAACAAGTAAGTGGGAAAACTGAAGTTGGCTAAAAGGTACTAATTTCTCAGTCCCCTGTATAATCTTTCAGTTAAAAAAAGCCATGTTACAAATTAGGACTCTCCCAAAAGAAGAGGCTCTTTTCCAATACATGATATCCCTATACTAGGGGACTTGTTAAATAATGTCTTTCACAATAACTGTAGTCTTTTGTGAATGTAGACCGCTATGACCAACAACTAACCAAATGAATGGTTTTAGAAAACAGTAATTTCATGTTGTATTTTATCATCGAGTACTATTAGGGATGGAAAAATATCAATTTCATTTTGGGAGAAAAAAAAAATCCTCTTTAGAATATGGGAAACACACTGAAGAATCAGATGCAATAAAGTGCATCATTAATAAATTCACCCTCACATTCAGGTTGGACCATGGAATCGTGAACTTCCTACGTGGAAGCTGGTAGCATTCGCTCCTTTCCCATTAATAAGACAAATCCAAAAGCAAACCCAGTTCCAACCCTAAAAGGCTGCCATGAAATACTGGTCAAGTTATTTTTAAGCATTATGAATGCACAGTTTAGATTCTGGGTTAAAACGCGTTCCTGAGCTGCTTTTTCTCCACTGTGTTATATTATACACAGCGCGTTTCAGAGCTGTGAGTGCTGGCAACCAAAATGTGCAAAACACGACAGGTAGAGCTCTTCCACAGGGCAAGCTTAACCAGATACAAGTTGTACACGTTCACAACAAGCGTACTGCCAATATAAACTAGCAAAATTATTATTTGTTTAGTCTAATAAATGCACGGAGCACCACGCGGTACATGGCAGAGACTACACTGTAATATTCCCGACTCAGTGCTCTAGAGGCATTAGCAAGCCCAGGACATGAAAGAGCACTAAATGGTATGTTATACATGTTGGTAATTAGGTAATTATAGCTAGAATTGTTCAGGGAATAAATGGTGGTGTTTTGTGAAGGAATGAGAGAGAGGCTGGCATGACTTATTAACGGGGAACAAGCTTTGTGAGCGGAGAACAACATTTGCCAAGCTGTGACCTTGGGAAGGAAACAGACCCAAGAAAGAGATGAAAAGTGTGGGGGAAACAGGCAGGAACAGCAACAAGTGACGAGGATAGGAGGAGGTAGCAGCCTGGAAGGAATAACATGCTGTTCTTCGAGATTTTTACTCTAAGCTCAGAGCGACTTGAAGCCCCGCACTAAGAAATATGAGTGATAGGAAGCTAATCTATATTAAGGGAGTAAGAAACGAAATAAGCAGAAATCGGGGTCGATACGTAAGTCGAAACAGGCTTGGGCAAGTGCTAGCACTGTCAATGGAAAGACAGGAATATGTTTTAGCAACACAGAGGAAGTAAATCCAAAAATGTACTTGGGGATGACTTTTAGAGAAAAGAAAGGGTACCTTCAGGTTTGCACAGCTTCTCTAGCAGAACTAATTTAAAATTAGTAGTAGTTTAGTCAAAATTTACAAGCAGTTTGAGCCTACTTCTCTCCGCATCCCAACTTCAGTTTGGATAATATAACCGAAGGGGAAGCAAGCCTTCGTAGGGCCACGTTGCAATGAAGTGATCTAGCTAATTAAGAAAATACACTCCAAACCCCTAAACTTGAAACGAAAAAGTAGGTGGAACTTCAGAGACAGACTTTGCTAGAGGAAAACCATGAATGATACCCAGGGAGGCAGGATGGTGGTGTTATTGATAGTGACAGAAGACAACGAAATGCTTCAGAAATAATGGGAATGCACAAGCGTGTGGAATTTGCAGAACTGGAAAGAGAACAGGCCCAAGGGTTTGTCTACACAGGCAGAAAGAAATTTAATCTAAGGGACTAGAACTGTGCTAAATCCTTGCATAAGAACAAAATTAAAATGACCTGAACTTGATTCAACTTAGTTTCCCTTGGAAGTGAATTAAGATAATATCACTTAAGATCTCTAGGTTAGGATTAAAATTTCCATGTTCATGGCTTTGAGAAGTGCCTTTAAACTGATGATTGTTTCTAAAGCTGCAAGCAACGCTCCATCAGTTTTAAGTTCTTTTTGCTTAGTAAAAGTCTGTGGGGACTTCTTGGGGAAAGTCAAACCAAATTAACTGAAATTGCAATTGGAAGGCGATTCAACGAATCTACTTTAAATTCACACCTTTTGTTAAATTCTTCCTTGTGTTCCTGAACAGATACGTGTGTAACTCGAAACAAAGTTTAACAAAAAGCACATTTAGAATGAAGACAGTAGAGGGAAGTCAGTAATTTTCAGGGGCAGTCCCCAAACACACGAGAACACCAACTATTCACAAGGGAGAGGCAGGAAGGGGCAACCGAGCCCCTGAGAGCTAAAGGTATGTGTTTACTCCAACACTGATTCAATTCCCTTTTCTTCACTTTTACCCACCAATTCTGTGCTCTGATGATTCTAATGCTTCTCAATGTCTCCTAACACGTCTAATACCCTTTTGTTTGTTATAAATAGTTTTTATTTCAATTTTCATAATCTATACCTAACTTTACCCAGTCAAAACTCTAAGGAAAACCACCATTTAACTTTCTGTGTTATTATCTTTTACATTTGAATTTTAGATACTTGAGTAGGGAAGAGGAAGGGAAAATATTAACCGATGGTTCAGCTCTGCAGTCTTACTCTCACCTCTCTCCAAGTATCATCATTAGATTTTGGACACTGGCAGTAGATTTCACATGTTACCCAGCAACATGAAGACAGAAACTCCATTCCCCTTGAAGTCCCAGGCTAACAGCTGAAGCCACTAGCAGAACACCTGGCAGTGAACACTGATCATAAGTGTAGAGATCTCGGTTTTGTTTAACGTTATCCCACTGGCTTCAAAAAAATGCAAGGAGATGAGCCATTCCCTTTCAACCAAGCAGAGCGCATGAGCTAGCATTATGTACCTCGTTAAAGAAATTTTGCCATTGCCAATTTCTCATGTTAAGCCCACCAAAAAAAGATGCAAATGCTAAGTTATATCTTATAATGCTGAACTAAACGGTTACTTACCATAATACTATATAAACAGATCGTAGAACTATAATGGAAACTAGCGTTCCATACATGATCTGGAAATAAAAACAGAGATAAAATTCAGCAGTTGGATTCAAGAGACTTCATAAAACACTACAGGAGTAAAAAACTTTTGAATGAAGCCTCTGTTGATTTTTATTTTTAGTCTCAGGAAAATAGTATCCCCTCTAACTTCCCTCTCCGGAAAGTCTTCCATAAAAGTTTCAAATGAAAGTATGATTAAAACCATGCCCTTTACGCAATTACAGGAAAAGTCAGTTGTGTAAAACCACTGTTTCATTTTTTGAATTAGAAAGCAAACACTAGATGGCACTCAGTAAGCATCCTGAAATCAAAATGGTAACTAACTCCTGTCTTCCTTTTCGCACCTGTGCGTTTTAGCCCAGGATTGCATAAGCATCAGCTAAAACTGTTTTTGAAAGCTATACTTCCTTCACTGATATTTGATTAATATTTTTTCCTGAAAGCAAACACCTGAATAGACTATGCACTATGCCCACACTGAGCACCAGTATGGAAGAAACTTTCCAGGAAGCATTTAAAACCAACTATTGCAGATTGTTGGGATTCAATCTAATTATACAGTGGGAAGGCTGCACGCTCTGAAAAGATCCGTGAGCAAAATCTGGCTCACTGTAGGCTTGATGAATTTGAATGTCATCGCCTGACTTATAGAAAAAAGTCAAAGTAATCATTTATTTTCCGCCTCGTGATCTTTAAATCACTCTCCCTTTTTTTAGTCACAAGCTTAGGATCCACATAACACCATCTCCAAAGACGTATAGACTAAAGAAGAGAAGAAATGTGGTCAGTCATGCCTGAAAAGTGATGCAGAAGCCACTGCAGCAGGGAGGATTTTCAGACACTGGTAACATTAACTCACTCTCCATGCTTTTTATTCTGAACACCGTTCTCCTCCTGCCGAAAGGCAGTTTGTTCCAAGCAGTTGTGCCTTGCTCTTTGCCTCTCTCCAGTGGCCCACAGGCCCCTCGCTATTTTTCGCTTCCCTGTTCACTGAGTTTCCTTTCTCATTTTGCTTTTAGTTAACTCCTATCTAATGCTGCCTTGTTTTACATGAAACAGAAAAATGATAACCCTTTGCTGTCTATTTTTAAAAGCCACTAAACCTCACAGAGGCGTGTTTTCAAACCAGTGTCCTCACCATGGTCCACTGACCGCCTCGTACCTTTCCTTCTTTTAGACTACATTGCCTTCAAGGCAAGGACTACCTCTTACTCTGCTGTTACCGGGCCATTCAGCTGTTACTATCCTGCAAGCACGTGGACGTGTCTAGTCGTCTGACATAAAATACATTGCTGTAATAACGCAAAGCGAAACCTACTTTTCAAAAGTCCATAAAGGCAAATTTTCAAACTCCTTTTAGCTTTAAGGATGAGGTTAGTAGCACACACCGTTATTATCAGTGCATATATAGAGAACAAGACAGACAACAGAGGCCTTATGTTTGACAACAGGTAAAAGCAAGCTCCAATATTGACTATGCAAAGTCATTCAGCACAGCAGCTCTTTATTTGCATTCAGAGCGAGATCAAATAACTTCAGTAACTAAACTACTACTACTGTTTGTTCTGCTCTGTAGAGCTAAACAAAGCAAAGCTATTTGAAAGGCTAATTGGTTCTGGCTTGTACTTTATACAAAACTGTTAGCTAATTCCAGTCCCCTCGCTGGGGCACAGCACATAAGTCAGGAAAAAAAAACCTCCAACAAAACCTGCTAGACACAGCCTGAGTATCAAGTGCTTATCAGTCCCAAGCTAAAGGTAGAAAGGGGACTGCTCAGGTGTGCCTGGCGCTGCATGCTGGTACAATTCATCATCACTGATGTTTTGCCTAAAAAGACCCCACTGTATAACAAATACAGACTAAATTTAAAAGTTAAATGCCATTTTACTTCATCAGTCTCATTTAAAACAGCCTGTTTCGTTTTCCTAATCAAATGCAGTAATTTATTCTGAGAGGGATGGCACAGAGGAAGAAATTCATAGAAAGGCTCCTCTGGAACCCAAACCGCAGTTTGATGCCCTTTCCTTGCTGATCTCCTCCTTCCTACAATTTCCATTGCTAAAATGCTCTTCTGCAGCAGAGACACAGGAAAAACCTACCCCTGAAGAGAAATTTCTATCGTACTCGTGAGGGGTGTGACCACCTTCATGGTTTTATCCGATTTGCTCTGGGGTTCTTTGTACAAGGAGTTAAATAGTGTCAGACTACGCCTAGAGAAACACGGCTTATAGGCAGCCCAAAGCCCAGGTAAAACGCAGGCTAAAAACGCTATTTTTGCAGCAGCTGCTAAAAGCAGGAAAGAGCAAAAGCTAAGAAAAGCTTGCTTTGTAGAGCCTCCGGCTTGGTATCTCCTAGTGACTTGCTTAATGGCTTGCAGAAGAGGACAGTCTTACTGGAGGGAGGAAGGAAAAAAATAAAAAAAACCCACCCTTGCAGTGACTGAAGAAAAATATGCCCACAGTTGACACTTCAATTTCTTGCCTTTTCCGCTCCCCCACACAAACAGGCTCTTAGCAGTAAAACACGTTCGTGTTTAAAAGCCTGTGAAAGACTGGAACAACAAACCGTTCTGCTCTGAATGCTCCGATCCTCCTCTTCACGCTGAAGGCAAGCATCGAGGAGGTGTTGCTGTGATATGCAGAGACTGTAGCGGCACATCTCACTACAGCTGTTTCTTACTAGAGGCCTATAAACCCAGCTACACAACTTAGTTCATACTTCAGGGAGCAGCGCTTATTTTTACTCCTTTACCACCCATGGATTTACTATTTTCATCATGCCAAAAATTTGTTAGGTCTTATCCGTCCATCCAAAGAAGGATAAAGTATAAAATTAAAAAAAAAAAAAATCTACCTTATTCAAGTTGACTCAAATTTTTCAATTCCTTTAGCTCCCTTTGTTCTTCTTTAACTAGCACATCACTTAAGTGACAGATGAAAACCCAAGCAAGTTTTGTGCAATTTTGTCTCACAGTGCCTTTAAATCGCAAGCCAAAGAACACCCTTGCACTATGATTGAAACAAAAGGAACCAGCAGAATCTCATCATCTTCTGTTATCACTGGACAGTTCCCTCTCTGCTGTTTATGATGCAAATAAAGCTGCATTTATTTCAGCTTTGAAGCCCATATCTTTGCAATGGGGAAAAACCCAACGTCTTATTAAAACACAGTGGATTACCTGATAAGAAGGCCAAATATGAAGAACATCCTTTTAATTAAAAAATGGGAAGTAAGCATTTCAGGGCTCAGTGTTTGGTAGCATTTTTGATGTGGAGGCAGTTAAGCAAATCACATAGACTCACTTCTTATGCAAGTCGGAGGCAAGGTTGGTACTCCACACTGGGGGGAGCATACAAAACTAGTTCTTCATCTGCCCTTCTAGTACAGAAAGCGGCAATAGCCTGCTATTTCTAATTCTGCTTCCTCTGCTCCTGGCTTCTGCCCATCCTTGGTTAATAAAGTCAATTTATCAGCCTCAAATATTAGCGTACACATTGGGAACTGCACTGAGAGATTTTGTGCTGTTGGCGACCACTGCTTATCTATTAATATACCAACCAGCTATCAAAAAATAGTTAGCCTAAGTACCTGAAGCTGGAAACTGTATTTGCCATTTACAACAAAGAAAACAGAGTTGTACACGTTCTTGGATTTTTGGAGAAGAAATCTGAGCAGAGAGAAAAGGAAAGACAAACCCCACAATGACACTGAAACACCAAGTAACTCTGCATAGTTACGGCTGTTTAGTTCTACATGCCGTCCTGACAGCTCCTAAATGAACTAACTCAGATTCACTTGGTTTGGTCTTGTTTAGATGCACATACGTGATGGCAAAGCGACACACAAGTCACTGCTGCTGCATGGCACAGAGCAGCTCTCCAGAGGATCAGGGACACTGTCTGCAGCAGTAAACTGAGCTTCTCCTTCAATGACTTGTGGAGCTGATCCTTTGGAGAGTCTGAATGTCCTTCCACGTTCCCTAAGCTATTGTGCAGGTAGAGGTACCAGCCAGAATGAAAGCTGTACTCGCTTTCTGGAAGACATCCCCAAACAAGCTGTGTAACAGAGTGAAATGTCAGTCAAATTAGTTTTACACGTGGTCTTCAGCACAGGACAATGCCCAAGTAGAAAAAGCTCTGTGGTGAAGACATGCACTGAAAAGGTAATTTTTAACAGACTGGTTGGCAACCTCAACATGTAGAAAGTAAGACAACACGTTCCACTAAGAGGCACAATACATTAAGCCACAAGCCTACAACTGACTTGCCTTAGCAGCAGGAGGGACTTTGGAGAGCTGTAGAACATCAAGTGGGTTCACACAGATTCCCCAAAATGGGGAGTCCTGCAAGTTTGAACAGGTTGCACCCTGCCACAACATATTCTTCATGCAGTTTCAGGCTCTCATATGTACTTCTACATACACATTTCATAGTGATTTCACTTCCTTCTTTGTATTTGCATATTTAAAACACCCGTGGAGAAAAAATTTATTAATTTTTTTCATTGAGGCAAATGAAATACCTTTTTCTCCCACGCTCGCTCTCTCCCTCTTACCCAAAGTCACCTTAACTGGTAAATCCAATACTTGTATTTTACTTCTATCACCGTTGCAGAAAATTCACTGGTCATATTATTATGCTGTGACCAGTGAACACATCCAGGCACTCCCTCCCTCCCTCCTTTGGTGATCTGTGCGCAGTTTAGAACAAGAACAGTTGGTATTTGCCCATCAGTCCATGCTCCTCCATTTTGAATCATTTGTCATCCTAGTCCTCAAGGTCTCCCAGTTATCTCTTCATCTCCTCCTCTCTATCCAGTGATGCCTCCGAACTTTGTATCATCACAAATATCATCAGTACGCGAGACTGTTTTTCCCGCTACAGGTCATTAAATAAAACCAGTCCCACTACTGATCCCGAGAAAGTCCAGGCTAAGACTTGCCTTTCATCACCTCCTTTAGTCATTTGCCACTAGTCACCCTATTTGCAATTCTCATACTGATCTACTTCTCCAGCTTGCTTAGTTTCTCATGGGACACCATAACAACGCTTCTGGAATGTCTATACAAAAGGCATTTTTTAAAATCACATTTCCTAATGTAGAAGAAACAGCTACCAAAAAACCGCCATTAGGTTAGCCTGAACATTTAATCTAATTTTCTATTTACCGTTTAATTATTTGTTTGCTCAAAATTTGCTTCAAACTCTTGCAGCAGATGACTATACAAATAAAACAGGTTTTTAGATCTATTTCGTTATTCACATAACTTGGCCTGCTAGCTGAATGAGGTTTTCGATCACTACAAGTGTATAGCCAGCATATGGTATGTAGCAAGTAAACACATCAGGATGGGAAACTATGTTTTGTAGGTGACAGCTTTCTAGGCCATATCGTATTAGATAGAAGGCTACTTGTAAGACCTGAGCCTAAAAATTTAACTGCCACGGTAATTTCTTCTATCTCCAGTGCCGTCTTATATTTGTCTGTCTATGGATCACTCCACACCAGCAGCCAGTCTTCCCCTACGCCTTTCCTTTATAAGCACAAATATACACGCGGTAAACAGGGATGAGCAACTAATGTGACTTACAACTATTTCTGAGGAGAGTTTTAACCTGTTCAGTTCCCCAATCACACTCACATCAGGGAGTAAATTTGTGTGCCAGATGGGAAAGAGGGGAGAGGCATAGCTGTTTTCTTTGACAATGATGCTGGCTTAAAACCACCTAGGGAACTGGGACGTAGGCTTGTTTAGCACCATGGAAATTAGGTAATAATAGTGCTCTAGCCTGGGAGATTTTGACATAAACAAGACAACACATGCTTGTAAAGGCCACTGCTATCTTTCATTTAATTGATGAAGCTGCAAAAAATACCAGATTGGTTGTCAGGCAGGGAAGTGGTTTTTTGCTTCTAATGATGTGCAGCCTCCAACTGACCAAAACATGCATCTCATCCCTCCTATGGTTAAAGCACTAAGACCCTTAAAGAGCTGCAATATGTGGATGGAGAAAAAGAAGTTGGTCTCTGTTGCCACTGTGCCATGAATCACAAACTGAAATCCCCTTCATGCCCTGCTGGCAGTAAGCAATTTATGAGCCTAAGTTGGGAAGGAAAGTAGAAAGTAATTCACTGAAAAATGAGGCTTGGATCCTAGCTACTAAATATAATAGGATCCTTTTCCATTCTTACTGCTCTCCTTTCAGGGAAAAAAACACACTGAAACAATGAACAATATAAAGCTGTGCGTGTAGTTATTCCCCTTTCTGCAAGGCTGACAAATGATGATGATCACAGACAAATACATAGAGGAATCAAATGCTGCTTTATGCCCTGATGCTGCTTTCCAATACAGCTAAGGACCGAGACTATGAATTAAACTATGATTGCATGAGCATATTTAACTTTACTTCAAGTCTATGCGACCCAATCAGTTGGAAAATACTTACTGAAATTTTTTTTTTTTTTTTTGGTGCACTCTAAAATAAAGGACAAGTATTAAGAAAATAACCTTGCTTAGCTGTGCAGTCAGAGAAACGTTTCCTCTAGATTTACAACGTATTTGGCAAAGATTGTGCAAAAAATGAGTGCAGTACTTGAACGTTTGAGATTTGGCCATAACTGTATGTTCTCCATAAAAATCAATTTGGAAAGAGTTGTAAAAAGTCCACCACTTTTATGGGCCTAAATCTTTTCTACATTGATTCCTCATTTATAAATCATAACAGGGAATTCATATTCTGAACCTAAGAGAAACCAGATGCAAAAAATTAAAGGTCTGGGGCAACAGTTTAAAGTTTCCCTATTTCCGTCTTTCCAGACAAGTCATAATATCTATCGTCTTAATATCTGTGACAGGGGACAATACCTATGTCAATGCATCAAACTGGAATACAGTGAAGCTGTGATATATTTTTTGCAATAAATGTAGGTTGAGTAGATAATTGATTAAAGAAATATAAGTCCAATATCAGGAGTAAATTCTGCCACTGTTGTTAACAAAATTACTTCACGTCACTTCATTCAAAACCAGTTATAACCAGCTCAGTAAAAGCATCAGAAATTGCCGCTTTCACCCCAGCCAGCATCTTCCTGCCAGAAATGTAAGTAGGGGAAAAAAAGAAGGGATTTAATTAACATTATCAAAAACCCCCTGCAAGTTTCTCTTCTTATCTATAGGTAGAGTAACAATTCATGTTTCTAGGAGAGATTATTTGAGCAGCTGGGAATTTATTTTATTCATCAGTGCTTCACTAATCCACCAACAGGAATCACGTATCGTTTTTACAACTGCTGATGCAGCAGGCACATTTTGACAAGCGATGGCACTACCGATTTCAGCAGTTAAGGCTTTAAAGCTCTGTCCTGCAAAGAGCTCAGTGCTGCTGCGTGGCAATTTTTCAGCTGTTTTCCCTAATCAAAAAACTCATAAATGAGGGAAAACTACTCACGGCATACATAAACGAGCATGATTTCTAACCTCCTGTGAAGAGGCAAGTGATACAAGTCCTATCCCCACACGCAGTAGATGCACATTAACATTCTTGGGCTGCTACAAAAGGCACATGTACCAAATATGCCATTAAGACCATGAGAACCAGCCTGCTACATAACCCTAGAAGACATTCTGTGTTTAAATTCAGCTTGAATTTACACAAAGTAAAATTGAGTAGTTAAAAAAAACCAAACTAGTAGGTTAAAGTGGAGAGAAGAACATGGTGCTAAGTCACCCACGCCACGTTACGATGTCAGGTCATAGTTTCACAGCTGCTGCTAATGGAAAGAAGCGGTCAAGGACTCACTGAGCCCTCCCTCTCACACACACCTTAGTCCATAGCGAGGGTCACCTCCTTACACTTGCCACTGATGAAAACCACATGAAATATGACATCAAATGCTAAAACACAACACACGTTAAACCATTCTAGTTTTTCAGGTCACCAGGTAAGAGGATGGCAACATGATAGGCAGCAATACTGCTTAAAGAAAAAGCAAAAGGCAAATTGTGCTTGCCTTCCACCTTCCCTCCGGCTATAAAATCCTGTAAAACATTCCACTAAACCAGCATCGTTTAAAAACAAGATTAGCTTCTGCAACAAAGCAAGATTTACCTGATGGAACACAGGCTCTTTCAAATTTAAGTAAACCTGGAAAGATTAAAAAAAAGAGAAATAATTTGCAACAGAGAATGATCATAACATCCAAATACCGCCAAGACTTGTTCTGTTAGAATCAAGACACGAGTGCCTATCCATGCACCATTAAAGTTGAATTAACATTTGAAGTTTCCTCTGGCAAAACCTGAGGTTTTAACTGTGGAATCATTTTAAATTAAGAAGCACAAATAGAGACATTAACATCTAAAATCTCTTCATTTCATAGAGTTGCAACACATACAAACTCAATTAAGATGCAGAAATTACCAGACACATTCTCGCTATGCATTGCAAGAAGAAAATGTACTCTACTTTGATTTGCTATTATTCATGTTTTTGACAATTATTTAACATTTCAATTCATTTTACAAAAAGCTAGTAGTTCTTCCTATTGTTAATGCAGTTCATTTAATTTCTGCTTTTGAAGAGAGAAGGGCACTAGACCTTAGGCATAACATGCCACAAGCGTAAAAATATTTAGGAGGCACAGAACAGAACAGGCAAGTATTTTGAAGGCAGAAGATGACCTATACTACTACTTTTTTTTTTTTTTTTAAGAAATGGTTATCAATAAAAATAATGAAGGAGACTCCATCTGTCGTTGACAGCCAGCACAAAACTCATTTTATTCATAAAGGGAGCACACTGCACTGAGAAAGGGAATCAAGTTAGCCGTGACACAGTTAAAATGCTTCAATTTTTTTAACAGCTAAGTTCCCTTCTTATTCTGGCTGTTGTTTTAAAGCACCAGTCAATATCCTGGACTGTGTATCACAGCACACTTTTTGTAGTCTGTTGAACAGGATTATTCTCATTTCTGTAGATGAATTAAAGTGACAGAAGATGAGGAGTGCAGCTTGCCCAAGGTCACACAACAAGTCAACGGTGACTGCTTTTCTCACATTCCTATTCTAGCAACTGGATTACTGCTTTTCTTCTTCATTTATTCTATACAGTGGTTTAGATAGAAAGGTTTCAGGTTTCTCTGGCCAGCACATAATTTTCCCAACAAAAGAATAATTTGTCCTTCTTGACTGGAAGTGAGAGAGATTCAGTACTGCCTGTATAACGTTCCTTCAATGGCAGGAAAACTGTCAACCTACAGGTGAAAATGCCGTATTAGAAAAAAAGTTACTTACTATGCTGACTACGAAGCTGTATGTTATTAACAAGAAAAGCAGTGGATAATTGACTGTGTTCTTGTACTTGAAACATTCATACCTGGAACAGAACATAAATGAGAGCGATAACATTCATCACTTACAATCTAAAGGATGCATTTTTTAAGGTATATTATCACAAAATTTGCGAGAAAATTGATCCAAATGAGTCTTAGGCCCTTCAAGAAATTGTAGCTCCTCCAATAAAGGTGTATCTTTTTAATATAAAAAAATCACACTTTTACCAATAAATGTTTTTTTTAAAAAATCTACTGCAAAAAAACCCCAATAAGCTCACGCATATACAAAAAATAACCCAGTCAGTGGAAAGAGTCTGGGAAGCAGAAGCGTTTTCAGAAGGTGCTTAAGGGGTAATAATGGATGGCAAATTAGAAATGAGTTTAAAATGCAATACAGCTGCCAAAAAACATTACATCTGTGAGCTAAAGGCAGCATGGGAAAGGGACTGCCTTGCAAAACTCTAGAGATCTGTTAAAATGCAGATTGTTTATGGCTTTACTACAGTCACAGCGCAGTAAATTTGCTGGATTGGGTACTGGTGGAAGTGGAAGGTAAAAACAGCTAATTGCTCCCAGTATGTAAAACAACTAATTAAAATCAGCTTCGCAATCTCTACACTACACTTCAGTCACTGTTGTGATAGAATTATACACACACATCCCAGACTATATCTCCATCAGAAAAAAGGTCCAAAAAACCCACCAAAAATGAACTTTGAGAAGCACAAAATCATTAGGGCTAGAGGAAGTCGTCTATATAACTCGAAGTTACATCTGCCTAGTTTATTTGTTTATAAACTTTTGGAAACAGACACCATCATGGATGAATAAAAGGAAACACAGAAAAAACACGTAGGAGTATCTGGGGGAAAAAAATCTACAAGACAGCACAGTGTGCTACGTTGCAAAATGGCTTGCCAAAGTAATTTCATGGCTTGAGAGTCAGTAGGACTGAATGATGTATAAGGGAATGTCCTGTGCAGAACCACCCCACCACCTACCTTCAAGAAAACCAAAATGATTATTAAAGGCCTCCTAAATGAAACATTAGCTCATTCTTCAGAACATTTTAATTACTACCAAACATACATAAACAGAATCTTATTAGAGCTATAAATGCAGCAACAGACTTCAGTGCTTTTGAAGATAATAGAGTAACCATTGCACAAAATAAGCATGATTATTTTTTCAGCAGATTTTTATAGCCACTTCTCATCCTTTCCCCCAATCACATTCAAATCAGACAAAACAAATGCAAAGGCAATTTCAAGGAGATAGGGAGCTACAACGGAAATATTTCCACTACCAGAGGCATTATGATTCTGGTCCTGAGTTTGCACAACTCATACTAATGCATGAATCACAAACTGATGGCAATTCCAACAGGTCTGGGTTTAGTCCTATAGCATCCCATCGCCATTGCAAGCTATCAGTTATCTTCACCAAAGCTATTCCAATTTTCAACGGCTGAATGTTTGATATGTTCAAAAGCAAAAGACAATTTTTTTTTGCCTTTTTGTCTGCAACAAGTTCATTTATCATTTGGATTTTCCAAGTCACAGAACAAATCATGTTCTGATTCTGATCTGCAGCAACAGGCAAGAAAAAGCCAACTTACTGTATCATTACAGTTGCCAAATGCTACATTGCTCCCAAAATTAAATGGGAGAAACATCCTGGCGTGGCATTAACCTGTCATGAATGTTCCAAGACACTGTTCACAAAATATGCGCTCAACTCTTCATAAAATGTTTTTTCTTTAGTTTTCCAGATGAATGAAAAGCAGGTTTAACCAGAAATTTGAAATTTTCATTTGGAGCCAGACTACGTCACGGAAACACAGCTCAAATAAATTACAGTGTTGATAATTTTGTAGGCGTTACTGAAGTTCATTTTATTATGTCTGCTTTTTACATACCAAGTCACACTGAGCTCTGGTTGTATACGACACAAAGCCTTTAACAAGAGTTATTTTTTCTCCTGCTAAACAAACACTGGTAGAACATCTCTAAATTAGCAAAAACTATGACTAAAGCCAGCCTGGTGCTCTAATGGCCAAGTCATAATACTGTACTGCTAGCAAAATTGAGATCTCACTGAGATCAGTAGAAGCTTCAGTGTCAGCCTCACTATACACTAGATTGAGCTTCACAAAGTCTACATTTCAAAAGTTAATATTTCATAAATATTCAGAAAAAAACATTTAACAAATACTTACAGGCAGTAGACAAACACACAACAACTGTATATCATTGGCAGTTCATCCAACAGCTACAAAAAGCAGAGACATCAAAACATGAAAACTACTTTTAACTCACACGCTTGTGTAAGTTAATTAAGGAGAGATAAGTCTTAAGAAAACAGGAGTTTTTAAGTCATTTGGATATCCCCCTTCTTGACTGTACTTCAGGATGCAGCAGTGTCAAATCCTACTCAACTAGTGAAAGCTTGCTGCATTAATAAGCTCATTACTCTGAATCTTTTGAATATTTTGTTTCATAAAAAGCCCATGCCTTCAAAGAATCATACCATCTGCTGTTCATACCTCTTGAAACATTCATAAGAATTAGTTTTGTAAAGTCAGATTGAATAAGACCACCCCATTTATAGCTTTCTCAATACAGGCAGTAGTGTTTTCTTACTTCTGAACAAACTTCACAGAGAAACTGAAATAAATTTTTTCCGTAACATAAAATAGAACTTTAGCCCATTAGGAAGTCCCTTGCGATGTGCCTGCATGTTTACTTCCTAATTTTGGAAATTTCTTACATTGTTTTAATTCAGAAATGGTTTTTTTTTGTTTGTTTGTTTGTTGTGGGGTTTTTGTTGTTTTTTTTTCCCCCCAAATTATGACTGCCATATACTGTTTTATTGTCTTAAATAATTTTATACTTTGGGAGAAGACTGGCGTGTTACAGCTAAAACAGTTATTTCTCCAGGAACCTGCCACCTTAATGGAGATGGAACTAAAATAGTAATCACAAGAGAGGTGATTTCTCAAGAACAGGTACGCTCAAAATTGCCATTTATCATTTGGGGGGGGGGGTGTGTAAGCATAGGATCATTTTCTTCTAGAACTTTTCTCGAAGAACATTAACAAATTTCTGCTCATAAATATATAGTTAAACTTACCTCTTCTTATGAAGGACTGAAAATCATGAAAATGCGAAAGCATACAAATGAACATCCACTGCCTCTAATTTCTAATATGTTAAGCAAATGTTAATAGTTAGGCATCTTAGAATTGATATACCAGGTTTGACTCTTTCCTAAGAAAAACAGGATCCGGATGCAAACAAGATTTTGATCTTTTCCCATCATCACTCTGAAAGTTGTTGATGGCCATGCCTGTACAGAAATTACCTTCCTACTACTGGTACAGGGTACTTAACAAGTTCACAACCATGTTTTTCTGAACAATGAGACACATTAAGAGCCACAGCAGCTTACACAAACACTTGTATAAAGCCAGCCTGATTCTGCTTGGTTTGGGAGAATTTTTCTAACTGCACAGGCAAAAACTTTCTTTTAGTTTTGAAATTTCATATTGGGGAAAAAAGTGATCTAGTTCTTTACAGAAGGAGAGAGATGTATCATCCTGAGTGTAAACTATTAGCTTTTCGTGGTTTTGATCGTAGAAACTTCAGGAAATGTTTCACAATACTGCTAAACAGATCTACTGACTAGCTGCCACTGAAAGGGCAGGTCTTGCTTCCTCACCCAAACTCCCACTGCTTCTCTCAAATGAGGCAGTCTTGCTCGTCTGACCCACGGTGAGCCAGTTCCAATAGCACACAACTAACCTTGCAGAAAAAGGTTTAAATCCCTGAATCCGTGAATTATAGGGTCAGGGACCGCAATAGGTAGCACAAAGTAAGTATCAGGAACATAAATGGCAGCTGAACCTAACAGGCGTGTTCGGTGGCACCTTGCCACCACATTAGGTTATCTTTGCTGTGATGCCTTAGAGAGGAAAAAATAGAAGCAACAGCTGAATTCAGCTTTATACTAATAATTTTTATTTATAAGTTCAGTGATATGCTTTACCAAGTCTGATAGGAATTAGCTGCAGGATTAATTCATGCAGCTCTCTAAGAGCCTGAGTCATTTAAGGCCTCACAAAAGAAACAGGGGGGAAACAAGAATAAGAAATACAATACAGCAAAACTTTTCAAATATGGACAGCTGATTACCCTCCCAAGTTCATATGCTGGCAGCATCTCAGGGACATAACGGTAACATCAAAGAGCCTCTCGAAAGATCCTAGTTAGAATCTGCTTGCAGAAGACAATGGCTTCTGTATCCAAAGGAATTAATGCTTCCAGAAATACTGTCAACAGCGTGTCTGGACAATGAAGAAACATGGATAGAAGGAAACTCTGTGAGCTGATTTTGCTGGTTAAAGAATATTTTGGATTCTTGAGGAACGCACAATCAAGCAGATTCCCATAAAAATAAGAGAAAAAGAGAGGTGATTGCTTCAGAAGTATTCTAAATAACTGCTTTCAAGAACAGAAGCTTTCACATTTCTCTTAATTAAGCAATCTGAATTGACCATTTACAGTACTAAGATTGTGAAACAAATGTAAAAAAAAAAAAATCTCTTCGAACAGCTATCAATGCTGACTCTTAATCATAACAAGCGATAAAGTGAACAAGAAAAGATTATTTACTGGTTGAAATGTTTCCTCTATGGTGATTCGTGAGCTAGCAATCAGAGTAATTATGGGCCACTTGTGGATTTCACTTGGCTGCCAAAATAATAAGTGTACTTTCTCTGCCTCACACAAAGCCTTTTA